CTTCCTGGTAAGCTCAGTTGGCCATACCACTGTGTTACCAACGGGGAAGGTGGAAGGCGGCTTTCCTGTTCAGATGGCAACTGAGGCCATCATGGCCAGTTAAGGGTGGTCCCTGGTGTCTGACCAACCATAAAACCGTAAGGTATAGGAAGAGAATTAAGCCATTCAGCCCATCAAGTCTGGTCCACCATTCAATCATAGCTGACATGTTTCACAAACCCATTCTCCTGCCTTCTCCCCATAACCCTTGATCCCCTTACTAATCAAGGGCCTATCTTAAATACACCCAGTGACTTGCTCTCGACAGTGCTCTGTGGCAGTGAATTCCATAGATTCACTACCCTCTGGCTGAAGAAATTCCTCCTCATCTCAGTTCTAAAGGATCATCCTTTCACTCGGAGGCTGTGCTGTGGGGTCCTAGTCTCTCCAACTAGTGGAATCATCTCTTCCACTTCCACTCTATCGAGGCCTCTCAGTATTCTGTAAGCATTAGTGGGACCCCCCTCATCCTGCCAAACTCCATCGAGTACAGACCCAGAGTCCTCGACTGCTCCTCATAGGACAAGCCCTTCATCCCCAAGGTTGTTCTTGTAAACCTCTTCTGGACTCCCTCCAATGCCACCACATCATTCCTCAGTTACAGGACCCAAAACTGCTCACAATATTCCAAATGTGGTTTTTAACAGAGTCTTATACAGCCTCAGCAATACATCTCTGCTTTTGTATTCCAGCCCTCTTGAAATGATTGCTCACATTGCATTTGCCTTCCCAACTGCCAACTGAACCTGCATGTTAACATTAAGAAAATCCTGAACTTGGATTCCCAAGTCCCTTTGTGCTTCAGATTTCCAAAGCCTTTTCCCATTTAGAAAATAGTCTATGCCTCTATTCTTCCTGCCAAAGTACATAACCTCACACTTTCCCACATTGTATTCTATCTGCCACTTCTTTTCCCACTCTCCTAGCCTGTCCAAGTCCTTTTGCAACCCCCTTGTTTCCTCAATACTACCTGTCCCTCCACCTATCTGTGTCATCTACAAACCGAGCAACAATACCCTCGGTTCCTTCATCCGGATCGTTAACGTATAATGTAAATAATTGTCATTCGAACACTGACCCCTGCAGAACTCCTGTACTCAGTGGCGACCATCCTGAAAAAGACTCCTTTATCCCCAATCACGGCCCCTGCCAGTTTGCCAATCCTCTATCCATGCCTCTACTTTGCCCCTAACACTATGGGCTCTTATTTAGCAGCCTCCTGTGCGGCATCTTGTCAAAGACCTTCTGGAAATCCAAATAGATCACGTCCATTGGCTCTCTTTTGTCGAACTTACTCATTACCTCCTTAAAGAATTCTAACAGATTTGTCAGGCATGACCTCCCCTTGACTAAGCTGTGCTGACTCTGCCTTATTGTATCACGCACAAAGTACTCTGCAATCTCATGCTGAATAATGGACTCTAAAATTATACCAGTGACTGAGGTCAGGCTAACCGGCCTATAGTTTCCCATCTTCTACTTCGCTCTCTTCTTAAAACAACCAACAGGGCTCTCTTCTCCCTGTCCTGACAAAGTTTTTGTCCAAAAAATGATATATGTAACCTTTGGAAAGACAAATCCCTTTCTTCTTTTCTGTATACTTTGTTGAGACTTCGATCCCACCCTCATTCTCCTCACATTATCCCTGTCTTACTGGCAAATACACTGTCCAGTTAGCTCCATCAAACCAAACATTTATAAATATCATTAAAAAGATACCATACTGGAACAAGTCTGTACAAAACAGTGTACGTATAATGCTTTAGAAATACAATCACAGAATTAATTTCAAGTATCTACAACAGCAAAAAATACCTTCGAACAGCTGCTGACCTACTACAACAAGCAGCAGGTGTGGGACATAATAAGATAAATACAGTTGTGTCAACGTCATCTTTATTTAAATTTAAGTACAAAACCGGATCCTTGGAACTGAAAGTAATCAAATGTAGACACAGTTCAATGTTTCTTCATATGGTCTGTACCGTATTCCCTAGGAATCTGTTTCTGATAGGGGTGGGAATATCTGATGACATTTTTCACCACAGCTCAACTGCTGTTGACATGGACAGATGTAGTAGGATGACCAAGAAGAAAGTAAGATTACAACAGCTGTTTCAAACTAGTAGAAAATGACACATGTACAACGGTCATCCCTAAACTAGCCAACGACCAATCAGAAGAGCTGATAAGAAAACAACAATATGTAGTATTTTGCTTTAAATCTGACAGATTGAAACCAGTGAAGTGTCCATTTATCTAGCAGCTTGTTACAAACCATTTAACTGAAGGGAAATCTGGCAAAAATTGACCCCGAGCCAATGAATTAGGTAGTTGACCAAAGCCGAAGAGAAAGAGTTAGGGAGATAGAACAATTTGTGACGGGAATTTTAGAGCTTAGGGCCTAACCACTGATAATATGGCTGCTGATTGTGGGGTGGTGAAATGAGGGATACAAAAAGCCGAGTTGGAAATCAGGGCAATAGAGAGAAAGGGAAATGTGAAGGCATGAATGGATTTGAAAAGTTTGAAACAAAGTCATTAGTGGACCAGGAGCTAATGCAGGGCAGTAAGCAGAGGGGTAATGGGTGAGCTGGTCTTGGCCCAAGTCAAGAAACAGGCAGCAGAGTTATGCATTAGCTCATTTAGATAGGGTGGAAGATGACAGTAACTGAATTCCTGTTGTCCTTACTTGCTCTGGCCAATATGTAATTTCAGTCCCATACAAACATTCAGTATTTCTTAAAAAAGACAATATGTTGAGTCTGAGATAGCAGGAACTGCAGATGCTGGAGAATCTGAGATAACAAGGTGTGGAGCTGGATGAACACAGCAGGCCAAGCAGCATCAGCGGAGCAGGAAGGCTGACGTTTCGGGCCTAGACCCTCCTTCAGAAATGAATGTTGAGTCAACTACATTGAGTCTTTTCATCCTATACTCATTAGGGCACTTTGCTGGACAGCATTTGCTGGATAGTACTGACTTTAAAAAGGGTGGCACAGTGACGCAGTGGTTAGCACTGCCCCCTCAAAGGGCCAGAGACGCCCAGCTTCAATTTCTTCCTTGGGTGACTGTCTGTGTGGAGTTCGCACGTTCTCCCCGTGTCTGCATAGGTTTCCTCCTGTTTCTTCCCACAGTCCAAAGATGTGTAGGTTAGGTGGATTGGCCATGCTAAATTGTCTATAGAGTCCAGGGTTATGCAGGCGAGGTGAATTAGCCATGGGAAAGACAGGGATAGGGTAGCGGGGCGAAACAGGGTAGGATGCTCTTCAGAAAGCCAGTGTGGACTTGTTGGGCCCAATGGCCTGCTTCCACACTGGAGGGATTCTATAATTACACTAACAACCAAGTTGGGGTTGTCAGTCAGTCTTGCAATGTAGTGCACTTGCATGTACTGGAAGCTACATATATTAATACACATAGAAAGAAACTATAAATCCACTGCAATGGATCCTTGTGGTGTGCTGATAGTGTCCCTACCTCTGGACTAGGGACCTGGGTTCAAGTCCCCCCTGCACCAGAGGTGCATAGTAACACCTATAAACAGATTGCTTACAAAATATCTAGAAATCCACATGTTTCACCTCAACAAAACAGGTGACAGCCATTCGCTGGTTCATTTGCACAGCAATGTCCCAACTAATTGATTCAACCTGTCCAGTTTAAAATTTCAAAGCCTGGCGGTTAACCTTCAAATAGTATTAACTGGTGCATTCTGCATGGCAACACCTCTACAAATCAGAATCCATTCGCCAATCATGCAACATTCTCCTCTCATGGAGTGTAAGTGCTAGTGTTCCCTTTGAATTGGTATTCTTGCAAAATGACCTGATGGGTGCAAGACTAAGAGCTTAGACAAAAGATTTTTTTCAGCAATAATGAAGTTCTGTGCTATCACACAACGACTTGCATATTAACATTGGTGATTTCTAACCATTCTATGAAGGGGACAACTTCGTTGTATCATCCTTTTCACAATAACAAAGAGGAATGGGCAAAAAAAAATGCAGCTTTGGCATTGAAAAGTGACAATCCAAGAATGAACCCAAGTAAACAATATAACTCTGAGCTTACCTGTTGATTGTCACGTTCTTTACCACCATCGATTGGGAAGTAATAGCTTTTTTGTCCTTGATGCCCGCGTAGCTGAAATCTGATGCCACCACACCAAGCTCTGATGCTAGGCAAGCAATTGCTTCCAGGGTTTCCATGTTCACCTTACACAAGGTAAATGCTTCAGGGAAGTAGAAGATACCTCAATCTTATCCTCATTTTTTATAAAGCACAACCACAATCAATTTTAACTATAATTTCTGTTTAACTACCACGCCACCTCTCCTGGGTATCTACACATCCGTTAGATAATAAATGTGGATGGATTAATACTTCAACCATTCCACTAGTCTGTCATCAGGGCTTGGGAGTCATTAGACTGTCACCACCTGTGCTAATCCAAACACAATTTCTGTTCTCAAACACTGCTCATTAATTCACTGGCCTCTGTCTCAATTATAGATACCCAAATCTTTTAGCCACATTACAACAGTGCTGACTCTGCAAATATCCTTCATTTTCTGCAAAGAGCCTTAGTCACAATGAGGTTATGAAAGGCATTCTCTTTCTTTAGCTGCATTAGTTAAAGACTCACACCTGGAAAACTGAAGTGAATAAGTTATCTTCTTGTCTAAATACCTTCACAGTTCTATAGAATATTATAGCATTGCTCTATAACTATTTCATCTGGGGCCTTTATAGCACTCAGTATATCATTCCTTATACCAGATACATTATGTTTCATATCCTTAAGAAATTAAACCTTTCTTTACTACCCTGGCATTCCCTCCAAACTTCCATAATGTATTTCAAGTAATTCTCCTACATAAAATATTCTTTTAAAAATCACAAAATAAAAAGATCATTGTCAAAACCACAAAAATAAAATTCAATACCCGTGTAAGTTGTTGGCACTGCCTGGCAATCGTTGGCATTTCGTTTCCTGCCTGATGTGATTTTGCCTCTAAATCTCACAGTAATCACTGCAGCTTTGTCACTGCTGCCATCTTGCTCCAAAAAACTTTTTGTTTCCACCAGTTTCCCAAAGTACTTGCTGACAAAATGGTGGATGGCCTTCCGGTGCTCCTTATTCTGATCGGACTGAAATGTGAACTTGGAACTTCTATCTCTTGAATCTAAGAAACCAAAGAACCCGTTGGCTTCTTCCTCAGACACTAACTGGCAAAGCTCCGAATATTGAGGGTCAAGCCTGACCTCAATTTCTCCACAGCTGGTAACAGTCTTTAGGAAAGGAAATTTCTGCCGTACAGCCAAATGAATGGCCGCTCGTTGGCATTTCTCTTCGAAGGTTCCAAGTAAAAGACTAGCTTTGTCTTCTGTCCCCTCTTGTTCAGCAGCTTTTCTTTCCTTAGCCAAAGAAGCAAATTTTTCCAGCTTTTCTGACAGCGAGCTACCCAAAAGCAAATGCAAGGTACCTCCCTGGGTTTCCGATACTTGCAGTGAAGGAGAGTTAGCTGCAGATTCAGGTAAATTGCTGTCAGCAGTCTGGTTAACCTTGCCGTGCACGACATTGGCATCCTTCAATTTGTCAAAGATTGGCAAACCAGAAAATGTTTCCAGTGCTTTTTCTGGTTTCTTCATTCTCTTCTTCTGTATCGGATGAGCCTTTTCTTGCTCACTTTCAATGTTATCAGAATCCTGGCTGCAATCAGCTTCAACATCACTGACTAGCTGCCCATGCATATTGATCTCAGTCACCACAAAGTCACTGGCAGAATTTTTAATTATGCCACGGAAGCCAGTGTGATCACTGACCCAGCACAGGGACATGCCATCCATAACGCTCTCTGTACACTCTCATCGATAGCTGGAAAGAAAATCAAAGATCACCAGTTTGAATAGCGACATATTATACACCTGTGGAAAGAGAAAGATGATCAAAATGATCCAAGAATAGTTGAAAGGAAAAAGTAAAGAAGATATTCTGGTTATACTATACATTTGTTCCCTGAGGTTTTTAAGTAGTGTGTATAGTTCCTGTAAATATTCTAAACTAATCATGATACTCCAGCCAATTAAAGTGTAAGCTGGTACTTTGGACTAGCAATTCCTCTTTTGTCATTTTCATACATTTGTATTTTGATATTAGTTGTCATTTTATCTTCAGGCCAAATGGTCTCCTACTACACTAAGACGACTTTATAATACTTTCAGATATCAGTTTATTCTCCGACTGACTACACATTGGGAATAATATCTGCCAACATTCACTAACAGGCCAACACTGCCTTCAGCAAAGTGAGGCGAGTCTCCACGAAAGATGGATTTTTACAATCTTTGATGCAAGTGAGGGCATCTCTTCAGGAAACCACAAGAGTCAGTCAGTCTTAAAAACACATTTTCGTTTGAGTCAGAAGTTTGTGGTTCAAATCCCTACTCCTGGGTCTTTAATTAAAATAATTTCCCATAATGCACTTATATTCATTTTCATTACTGGAGGAATATACGTGCAGAATTAATATTTTTAAAAAGTATCCACCAGTTCATTCATGCTCATGTTCATTTGCTACAACTGATCCGACCAGGGTCTTCCACCAGTTTTATTTGATCAGTTCAGAAAGGTCATCGAAATCTAACAGCACAGAAAAATGCCCTTCAGCCCATTGATGACCAGTGCAGACACAATTATCTATTTAGTTTAACCTCATTTTCCAGCACTTGGCCTGTAGCTTTGTATACTGAAGCATTTCAAGTGCTCACTTGGGGATTTTGAGACTGAATTAAAGATCAGAATATACCATCTACGATTCAGTCAGAATTAACTCCCACATGAAATTATATTATCAGGTTCAGAAACACTTCAGAGTCGAAATAGTTAGTAGCACAAGAAATACAGATAAAAATACGATTTTTTTAACAAGTAAGTAAGTTACGGAACAAGATGGGAATGAGCAAACGTAGCAATTCTCTTAATTTTCCAAATATATTTTCGCCGGCACCTTTTTTTTTCCTGTATTTAGAGCAGTGCCCCTTTAAATCCAGGCTCTTCTGCTTTTCCGCTTCCTTCGAAGCTCTCTGCTTTCGGCAGAGGCTGGTCTGAGCCCGGGGGTGGGGTTGGGCTCAAACCGTTTACTGGCGTCGGAAAGTTTTGCTGAAAATGTCGTTTGTAGCCATGAATGTGCTCTTGCACAATTTGAAGTGTGGGAGCAGCCGGTGCAATAAAGCGAACAGCACAAGTTACAAAAATAAAAGGCACGTTTTGTTTTCAGTTCAGAGCAGTCAATGCGAGCGAGCAAGGACGGACTTAGAGCTTGCTCTAACTCCGGGGGGCGCAGTCTGGGCTTACCTGCTACCTTTCTACTAAGGGAGCATCGGCGGTTCTTACTGCCTTTCTGCAGGATCCTTGTCCCCTCTGGCTACCGACCTGATGCCCACGTACCTGGTTGGAGTCAGAGGCTCTGCAGAGCTTGAAGCTGAATGCGACAGCTTTGAACTCCTCACTTTCCTTTGTAATGTTACTCCCAAGATCGTTGGTCTTAAAGGTAACGTTCCCCATTGCGATCACAGCCAACCCCTGAGCAGCACTGTTCCTGACTCTTCCAGGACGCTTAACTGCTTAAACATAAATAATAAATTATGTCCAGGTTGATTGATTTTGTTTTTTTTTAATATAAAGATTGAAACATGGGATGTGGGCATCACTGGCTAGATTAGACCAGTGGACAGTGAAGAATTGTTGTTGTGGGCGTGGAGTCACCTATAGGCCAGACCAGGTATGGATGGCAGATTCCCTTCCCTAAAGGACATTAATGAACCAGATTAGTGTTTATGACCATCAGCAATGGGTTACATGATCACTATTAGGCCAGCTTTTATTCCTGTTTCAGTTGAAGATCAGGTTTCACCATCTGCTGTGGTAGGATTTGTCCCCAGAACATTCATCTGGGATTCTGGATCACTGAGAAGGAAAATCCAGTAAAACTAGTGAATTACATATACTGGTCTGACCACATACCTTGAACAGGAGCTCCTGTACAACCAATATATTCATTCTCAAGTATTTCTGTTTCTTTTTTAACCTCTAGGCATTACCAATACTCTACTAATCTCCCCAGATTTCTGATCTCCACCTGACTGCGCAGGATAGGTAGGCAGTGTATTGCTGTCACCCTTATATAAAGCTGGGAGAGGGCTTCACAGGAAAATCAAGGAAGAATTGACACAAAGTCAATTGGGATAGTGTGGGTAAAAGGCATTGAAGTGAACAATCTTCCATAGGTTCAATAGGCTGAATGGCCTACTTCTGTTCATAAAATGACAAGAGATTTTTCTTTAGATTAGGTTTGTCATGAATAGTTTTGAGCAGCATCTTAAGACAGATAAAATCCCAAGGTTTAGGCTTAAACAGCTAAAACTGACTGACACTGGTGCAATTTGTGGGTTGCATCAGAGTCAAGAGTTGAAGGAACATGGTGCTGTTCAAACACTGAACAGCTGCTGCTGAGATCCTTATCAATGTCCAGAGTCTGCCCAGCACCTAACACCTTCCCGTCTACCACTTCCATACACTACAACATACTCAAAACCTTGGTGTGCATTTGCATGAGTCAAGTTCTGCACCCGTCAATCCTGTTTGCTGATCTACACTGACTCCAGATTTCCAACCCTCCAGTTGGTGTTGCCTGTGAAATATTTTATTCAGACATTTTGTACAGTTTATTACTCATAAAACCTGTTTACCAGGTGCTCTTACTGTATGAGACAAACAAAGGACTGCAGCTGAAACTTATTTAGAATATAGAACATTACAGCACAGTACAGGCCCTTCGGCCCTCCATGTTGCGCCGACCTGTGAAACCAATCTGAAGCCCATCTAACCTAAACTATTCCATTATCATCCATATGTTTATCCAATGACCATTTAAATGCCCTTAAAGTGGGCGAGTCTACTACTTTTGCAGGCAGGGCATTCCACGCCCTTACTACTCTCTGAGTAAAGAACCTACCTCTGACATCTGTCCTATATCTATCACCCCTCAATTTAAAGCTATGTCCCCTCGTGCTAGCCATCACCATCCGAGGAAAAAGGCTCCCACTGTCCACCCTATCTAATCCTCTGATCATCTTGTATGTCTCTATTAAGTCACCTCTTAACCTTCTTCTCTCTAACGAAAACAGCCTCAAGTCCCTCAGCCTTTCCTCATAAGACCTTCCCTCCATACCAGGCAACATCCTGGTAAATCTCCTCTGCACCCTTTCCAATGCTTCCACATCCTTCCTATAATGCGGTGACCAGAACTGTACGCAATACTCCAAGTGCGGCCGCACCAGAGTTTTGTACAGCTGCAACATGACCTCATGGCTCCGAAACTCAATCCCTCTACCAATAAAACCTAACATACCGTACGCCTTCTTAACAACGCTATCAACCTGGGTGGCAACTTTCAGTGATCTATGCACATGGACACCGAGATCTCTCTGCTCATCCACACTACCAAGAATCTTACCATTAGCCCAGTACACTGTATTCCTGTTACTCCTTCCAAAGTGAATCACCTCCCACTCTTCCGCATTAAACTCCATTTGCCACCTCTCAGCCCAGCTCTGCAGCTTATCTATGTCCCTCTGTAGCCTGCAACATCCCTCCGCACTATCCACAACTCCACCGACTTTGGTGTCATCGGCAAATTTACTAACCCATCCTTCTACGCCCTCATCCAGGTCATTTATAAAAATGACAAACAGCAGTGGTCCCAAAACAGATCCTTGAGGTATACCACTCGTAACTGAACTCCAGGATGAACATTTCCCGTCAACCACCACCCTCTGTCTTCTTACAGCTAGCCAATTTCTGATCCAAACCGCTAAATCACCCTCAATCCCATGCCTCTGTATTTTCTGCAATAGCCTACCATGGGGAACCTTATCAAACGCTTTACTGAAATCCATATACACCACATCAACCGCTTTACCCTCATCCACCTGTTTGGTCACCTTCTCAAAGAACTCAATAAGGTTTGTGAGGCATGACCTACTCTTCATAAAACGGTGTTGACTATCCCTAATCAAATTATTCCTTTCTAGATGATTATAAATCCTATCTCTTATAATCCTTTCCAACACTTTACCCACAACCGAAGTAAGGCTCACTGGTCTATAATTACCAGGGTTGTCTCTACTCCCCTTCTTGAACAAGGGGACAACATTTGCTGGTCTCCAGTCTTCTGGCACTATTCCTGAAGACAATGACGACATAAAGATCAAAGCCAAAGGCTCTGCAATCTCCTGTCTAGCTTCCCAGAGAATCCTAGGATAAATCCCATCCGGCCCAGGGGACTTATCTATTTTCACACCTTCCAGAATTGCTAACACCTCCTCCTTATGAACCTCAATCCCGTCTAGTCTAATAGACTGTATCTCAGTATTCTCCTCGACAACATTGTCTTTTTCCTGTGTGAATACTGACGAAAAATATTCATTTAGCACCTCTCCTATCTCTTCGGACTCCACGCACAACTTCCCACTACTGTCCTTGACCGGCCCTAATCTTACTCTAGTCATTCTTTTATTCCTGACATACCTATAGAAAGCTTTAGGGTTTTCCTTGATCCTACCTGCTAAAGACTTCTCATGTCCCCTCCTGGCTCTTCTTAGCTCTCTCTTTAGGTCCTTCCTGGCTAACTTGTAACTCTCAAGTGCCCTAACTGAGCCTTCACACCTCATCTCTACATAAGCCTCCTTCTTCCTCTTGACAAGAGATTCAACTTCTTTAGTAAACCACAGTTCCCTTGCTCGACCACTTCCTCCCTGCCTGACAGGTACATACTTCTCAAGGACACGCAGTAGCTGTTCCTTGAACAAGCTCCACATTTCAATTGTGCCCAACCCCTGCAGTTTCCTTCTCCATCCTATGCATCCTAAATCTTGCCTAATCGCCTCATAATTGCCTTTCCCCCAGCTATAACTCTTGCCCTGCAGTATATACCTATCCCTTTCCATCGCTAAAGTAAACGGAACCGAGTTGTGGTCACTATCACCAAAGTGCTCACCTACCTCCAAATCTAATCTGGCCTGGTTCATTACCCAGTACCAAATCCAATGTGGCCTTGCCCCTTGTTGGCCTATCTACATACTGTATCAGGAAACCCTCCTGCACACATTGGACAAAAACTGACCCATCTGAAGTACTTGAACTATAGCGTTTCCAGTCAATATTTGGAAAGTTAAAGTCCCCTTTTTTATTAAAATACTTGCAAGTTAAAGAAACAAATTAAGTTTTCCAAACGAGGCTGACTGCATGAAAAACACAGATACTACCCACTCTGGTAAACTTCATTGGGCTGCTGGATTCAATTCACTGAACTCTTTCTTGGTACAAATGTGGGTCTCACACAGAGTGTGCACCTGTCTGATCTTTGCTGAGGGAATGACCGCCAGGTGTCCCTTCTTATCCAGAGGCAGCAAGAACTGCAGATGCTGGTGTCAGAGTCAATACAGTGCGGAGCTGGAGGAGCACAGCAGGTCAGACTGCATTAGGGAAGCAGGAGAGTCGACGGTTTGGGTTTACATCAAAGGGTGTAAATCCGAAACATTGACTTTCCTGCTCCTCTGATGCTGCCTGGCCTGCTGTGTTCCTCTAGCTCTGCACTATAACGTCCTTTCTTATCCACACTTTCTGAACCTTTCTGGAATGTTCTCTGATTTCAGCCAATGGTGTCACAGCACTCAATAAGTTTAGACCAGGTCATCCTCGGAGTACCCACCCGCTTTCTAAGATATGATTATTCCGTGATGCCAAGGAGACTGGCTGAAACTGAGAGATACACAAACATAATGTCTCTCCCTATTGTTCTGGCTCAGTACTTCTTAATAAGTCACAGGTCATTACAACGCTCCCGTTGTTAATGTAAATCACCTCCGTTCAGTATAAGAGACAGGTCTCTGACGGGGGTAGAGTGTTTTATTTCCTCTTCCAATTCTATTTTGATATAATCCCTACCCTCCCCCTTCACTTTTGTCATGTAAGTACTACCCTTATCAGACATTGCTTGTTACCAGTTCACTGGCCACATGGGTGTTTTCCTGGTAGTGGAAATATTGAACATTTCCTGCACAATGGTGTCTTTACTGAATCATTGCACACATACACACACAAAACACAAATGTTGTGGTGAAAATATAAGCACCACTGCCTACAGTGGTAGTGTGAAGAAAAAGAAAAAAAAGGGATTCAGAATCTCCTCACTTCAAGGAATAAAAAAGAAAGACAAGTTTGGTCTGGTCCTCGTTTGCCTTTGGCCTTTTTGCATACCATCAGGCTTTGGCGGAAACTTTTTTTCTGCTTTCACAGGATGAGGGTGTCACTGGCTAGTCAGCATTTATTGCCCATCCCTACATGCCCAGAGGGCAGTTAAGAGTCAACCACATTGCTGTGGTCTGGAGTCACATGTAGGCCAGACCAGGTAAGGATGGCAGTTTCCTTCCCGAAAGGATA